CCACCACCTCCACCTCCACCTCCACCATGAGTCTGAGTCGTACCAAGCGAATCAGCTCCAGCAACTCCGTCCGGAGCAGCAGCGGGTCGAGGAGGCTGAGTGGCTTCGGCCCAGTTCAGGGGGGTTTCAGTGGCATCTCCCTGAGCAGCAGCTCTCTGTACGCGGGGACCAACGGGCATCACCCCGGCCATGGCGCCCCGCTGGCGTCCCTGTCGGTCAACAAGAGCCTGCTGGCCCCCCTCAACCTGGAGATCGACCCCAGCCTGTCCATGAGCCGAACCCACGAGAAGGAGCAGATCAAGAGCCTCAACAACCGCTTCGCAAGCTTCATAGATAAGGTAATAAAATGAACTGTGTCTTAAAGTTTATTTTGTTTTAGTATTTCCATTTTATGTAATATATATGTAATATTATAGATAATGTGTATGTATGTATATATGTATAAAGTAGTTAACATTTACCATCTTTACCAGCCTCAACATAGTAATCAATAATTATAATCTTAGAATGCATACTGAGTACTTTTGCAACTTAAAGTATATTTTGATTCAATAATTTTGTTCTACTTGTATGCATGACTTTGAGTATTTCTACACTATGGTATTGCTTCAACCTGAGAGCTAAGATCTAAGGAAGGAAAATTATTTTGATAACTGAATTTCTTAAGCCAGAAAAAATGCCAAATAGCCTCTAATTGTGAGGAGTTTCTGCTTTTTCTCTGTTGTATCATTGTAGATTGAATATGTTGTGTTGTGCAATTTGTATATAGATCAAATTATGAATCAATTTGTTCCTTTAAAATGCATTAAAGCAAGACATTGTAAACTGAAACTGACTATAAAGCTCCTTAAAACCAAGTGGAGCTGCAGATTCAGCTGATATAATCTGATAAATGGTTAAAATCGATACAAATACTGACACAATAATACCACAAGATAACTACATCAGAGCCAGAATGGACTAATAACTTTGCCTGACATTTTACTTTATGTTTAGACATCAGGCTGAAATACTGGGTGTTAAATTGGGAAGTAAATCTGAGAAGAAGCTGTGTTGATGTTCCTGAAGAACACAGCCTGCACACATTTCCCACAGAATGAGTGACCAGCTCTCTGATAATGCTGGACATTGATACCGTACTTAGGGAACATCTCCCCTTTCTCACGGAGTAGGTAACACACTCTCACAAAAGAGGCATTGTTGGCTTCTCACATCAGCAGAGATACACTTCAGGCATACAGAGACAGAGCTGGACTGAAGTACGTTTGTCCAAATGTACAATATTAACCTCTTTTTAGCTTCTTTGAGTGCTTGTATAGCACAAAGACTCATATAGTATGAAAGTCTTTGACATGTCCTGTGATCATCATAATGGCTCATGCAATTACAGCAAAATATGCAGAATTTTAAGCAGTTTTATTTTGAAAAGTGAAAACGCTGCAGTAAGATAAGACATGGCATTTCACATTACAGTCAATGGCGACACCAAAGGGTAGCCAAGGAAACCCTGATCCCAATCACTGGCCCCCCTTCATTAATAAAAGAATAAAGGCCGGGGATATGACAAACAAATTACAAGAAAATACAAAAATCTGTGCATCAAAACTTTACATACCAGCATACCTGAGGCTTGCAGAACATTGCCAGCAGGGGACAGCTCCACTGGGTTGCAAAAAAGAAGTCCAATAGTATTGAGCCTCATAGAGAAATGAGTTGACAGTAAAAAATTAGTTTATTCAAGGTTTGCAGGTTCCAGGACGAAACATTTGAAAGCTTCCATCTGTCTCCGTAAATGAAAGAGTTGATAACTTTGTTTGCTTTTGTTGGGGTTGTAGGAGCTCTGGAGCTGCTTGTTGCAGCCACATTTGGGCAAGAATCCATTAAATGCAAGAAAAAAGTAGTTTTTTGAGGAAACTCGTTCTCTAGATCTTCCCAGCTGTTTTCTCCTACTCTTAAGCCATACGTTGAAAAAAAAAAGAGAGAAAACTGCTAAAAGGCCAAGTCGAATTACTGATGTATAAACTCACCCTGCAATTACTGGTGTAATCCAACCCCGACTGGCTCCGAGGTCGCTGAAACATTAAAGAGCTGCTTCCCTCATGCAGAGACGCAATTAGTGCAATGCAACAGGCGGACAACGTTTCTATTTGTTGCAGGATGATAACCCAGTTTAAACCTGGAAGAGGGTCAATGACACAAGATCACTGGGAGATGTTGATACTGGTTGTTGCAGAAAGGATCTACAGTTAGACCTGAAATGGTTAATGAAAGCACAGATTTAGCCAAAAATTCAGTGAATGCATCTGGGATTGAAAAAGCCATTTAAACCCTGAATCAGTGGTCCACTGGATATTTAAGCTATCTGACCCATTTCCGTCCCATTGAGTTGGGTTGTAACCTGATAAATCAGGTGAGACACGGTGTGGTTGTGTCTCAGAGGGAGATTGTTCAGCTCCGAACAGAACACAGGCTTTGTGTTGGAAGGAGGAGGTACAATAGGTGGTGGATATACCCGGCCGCAGGCAGGAAACACGAGCTGTGCAGATACCGGCGCCGAGTACAGTCGGGTGTTCACATTCAGATCGAGCTGGAACGATGTTTCTGATTCTCCGTAGGACATTATTCTACAGCTGCAACTTTTACTATTATTTTAATTCTAAAATTAAATTTATCTAACAGTTATGTTGTTGATAAATTTAGTCTATAATATGTTAATAGTGAATGTCACAATTTCCCAGAATTAAAGATGACATCTTCAAATTGCTTTGTTGTTTAACCAACAATCCAAAACTAAAAAGATCAATAATTTACTGGCAGAGGAGAGAAAGAAACCTCAGTAAATATTCACCTTTAACAGGCTGCAAGTAAGAGAAATGGGGCATTTTGCGCTTAATTAGTTTGATTATTTAAAGAGTTGAATTTTTGGATAAATTAAAGTTGTTGTTTTTAAAGTTGTTCATTTAAGTGAGCTATTGATAAACCACAATTGATGAAACCACACTGGTCAGTCATGCTGCAGCTGCTGATCGGTCTAACCACCTGTGGCAATCAAACCAGCTAAACATCAGTAAACATTAAACTCACCTTCAACAGGTGACCAGAAACACAAGGATCCCCGTGTTGCCTTGTTTTAGAAACAAACCGAGCAACTGTTTGCTTACAGCTGAAACTACTTGAAGATAAATGATCATTTGAATTTCTGTTTGACTCTTTCTGCGTCCCATCGTCAAATTTAGTCTAGTTGAAATTTTTAACAAGTCAAATTTGATCAGAAGCTATGTTAGCTAGCTAACAAACACAAATCGATCAGATCTATCACGTCAAAACCTCCAATATGGCTGCCAGAAGATGCAGCAGGGTATAATAGTACAAAATACACACACTTAACATGACTGCGACACAAACACCTTCTATCTCCACCCGTCTCTGTCATGCAGGTACGTTTCCTGGAGCAGCAGAATAAGATGCTCGAGACCAAACTGGAGCTGCTGCAGGGTCAGGGCGTGGGCCGGTCCAACGTGGAGCCCCTGTTCGAGGCCTACATGGCGGGTTTGCGGCGCCAGATGGACCTGGTCAACAACGACAAGACCAAACTGGACGGGGAGCTGAGGAACATGCAGGGCCTGGTGGAAGACTACAAACACAAGTAAATAATGTCACAGTGGTGGGAAATAATGGAAATAATGAGCTCTGTAATATCCATGTATGTTTTGTTTATGTGTCCTGTCTGTGTCACAGATATGAGGATGAAATTAACAAGAGAAACAACCTGGAGAACGACTTTGTTATCCTAAAAAAGGTCAGCATACACACACAGACACATTTATACATTACAAGGTGTGGTGAGTAATATGAACTGCTCCATTGTCCTCATTGTCGTCCCTCTCTATATTCCCAGCTGCACTAAAACCCATAAACAATTAATGTCAGTATCACATTGGAACAGCAGCACGTCAGACTTTTACTTACTCTGGTGTTCTTTTTGTAAGATTTTTAGAAATCTGGATTCAAGGCCCAAACTTGAGTTTATAAAATGAAGATTTCTCTTTTCTACTGGAATATTTGGCAATAAATCTGTAGACGTTAATGGTACGCAGAGAATGAATGGGACAAAATTCATGGTTCCCCAGGGGGATGAATCTTAGTGACTCTGCTGATCTTCTGAGGTTCACAGTTGTGATTCTGAGTGAAATATTTCAACAACTATTGGAAGGTTTGCCATGAAATTCAGCTCACACATTCATGATGCACTCAGGATAATATGCAATAACTTTTGATCAAACTTTTTGTTTAACGCCATTTTAATTTGTCCAATACTTTATTTAGTTTAGTGGTAATTCGGGTTAGAGTTCAACTTGGTGAAAAGTATGCAATTTGAGGTAACAGTACTTTATACTTTTAGACCACTTCATTTCAGAGGGAAATACTCATCACTAAAACTTACTTTTCAGAATAGGATTTTAATTACAAAACATGATCAATTTATAAAAGCTGAAGTACTTTTTAAATGCTAACACGCTAACATGCTAAACCAAGGTGGTGAATGCTGTAAACATTATACCTGCTAAACATGTTAGTATTGTCACTGTAGACTCTCTTGTTTAAGTGTATTGTGTGTGTGTGTGTGTGTGTGTGTGTTCAGGATGTAGACTCAGCCTATCTAGTGAAGGCAGATCTGGAGGACAAGGTCGGAGCTCTGACTGATGAAATCAACTTCCTGCGAAACATCTATGAGGAGGTACTGGAACATTTTCATGCTTTGAAACACTGAGGTGGTGAAAACTGTTCATCCCCCTCCTGTATTTCTTTATTTGCACACTTCTCTGGGCTGGTATCCAGTTATTTCCCACTGTAACGGTCACACCTTCCCTTGGTTCATTGTTCTGACTCACTGGAGAGTCGACTTCAAACATGAAGTGTCCCTGGAAGGTTTTTTATATCAGCCAGCGGAAATCTTAGCACCTGAACTCCAGTCGTTTCTCCGAGAGTGAATGCAAGCCAAGTGGTCCATGCCAAACTGTTTGAAAATCCATAGGTTGCCAAGGCGCTGGCACCAAGCGAGTTTGCAGCGACAAGAGCAATCGCACCCCCCAACACACATACTTTGAAGATCGCGCCTAGCTGTCCAGGATGCATCTGAATTACCAGCATGCACTAAGAAAATTCGAAGAATACAAACAGATCCTGGTAGACTCCTACAAGCAGACACACGAGCGTGAAAGATTCTTACCATCAACTGTCTCCCTTCCAATAGTCGCGCCATAGCGTCTACAGCTCGCTACTTCGCTTCCCTGACGCAAACGAGTAATCTATTGCCGTTTTTCGACCGGAACACGCCCTCACCAACTGACGATCTCTCGCCACACAGTGTTTCACATCGATACCCGAGAGCCTTCGATCGCCACCCCTGCCACATATTTTACATACAGACAAACAATGTATCACAGTATAATAAGAAGTAATCTTAGGCTGGCTATCACTGACACTTATAGAGACATCAGGATCTGGTCATTTAGGCGCACACAAAGTGACTAGGACTGAGTGGTCTGGCGTGGAGCTTCCGGTAATTTACGATTCTCTTCCTCCCACATTTTCCGAAAAATTAGATAAACAACGATACATACACACCTCCAACCAATAAGAAATCCACATGATAAACACAGATCATAAAAAAACATAAATATACATTCAACGAACCAACACTAACCATCTGCTATATACAAAGCCTTCACCTCTCACCCGAACACCAACCCACTCACGTAGAGACGCAGTAAAAACTTCTGCACCATGTTCTCTAATAACTTTACTGTCTAATCGAGCACATTGAGTCAGATTCCCAGCCCTGACATTTTGAGCCTCAGACAACCTTCAGATGTGCTGATCGATGTTTTTAATAATTGCGCTCACGACTCGTTCGTAATTCAAGATGTGTCTGTGGCTTTGGCGTTGAATTTAGAAAAAACCAATATATTATTTTAGATTAGAGAGATGCACTCAAATCTGACATAGCAAGATTCAGTAAATAGACCACACTTATACACCAGATAGTTCTAAAATCAGTGTACACCCGCAATGCCTAAGTGAACTCTAACGCCAGCAAAATAAGAGTTCTAAGGTGCAAGCTTGGATCATTCACCATCATATGCGAGAAAATAATTGTGTCACTGTAATAGACCCAGTCAGACTTGATATCTTTTCTTAAAAATTCAAAAAATTATTGTATCTTCTACAACTATCGTCTAATAAATAAAACTGACTTATCTCACTAGATATAATTAAAACCTAGACACTTCATTCCTTATTCTACCTGTCTTCTCTAAACAACTAACCATAATGGTAATATGATTTAATGGATAATCTGTGTAAATAACGAATTATCGAGCGCTAGGACAGTGTGCCAAAGTTAAGCGAATTCAACTGGACATATTGATCCACTTGTCGACCACCATAAATTTCAAGAACCCATCAGATATCCAGGTATCAATTCATCTAGCTTCGCTCACTTTATTCATTAATCTACACACTTGATCACCAGTATTCACATCATTATAATGGCACAATCAGCAAGCCTGAACTTACGATACGTATACATCACCACACAAGGTACAGCAAACATAAGCAAACACTACAAATGAACACACAGTTTTATTCCAATCCAGTGCTAAAATGCACATACACTCCATAAAGACAGCAACTCGATTACAAAATACATGATATGCAATACTGAACGATGCAGGCTGGGATAGGCCAATAACCGTTTACCGAATAGACACCAGCTGTATCACCTGTATATCCGGTAGCTGTCTGGCCATTAGATCCTGAATATATAGCGCCACGTTCTGCGTTAGTAGACCTCTCAGGATCTCTGGTACCGGCTTGGGCTTCTTTCACAGCCAGCTCTCCACGCTCCGCCGCCTCACCCAGCTGGTGTCATCCAGAATGCCACAGAGAGGAAGGCCCCGGACTAGAATACCTCACTATTCATCAAGAAGTCTAGAATTTCCTATGTCAGGTTCACAACTATCATTCGACTCAGTGTGCAAATTTTCCTGTTAGATGTACTTGAGCCTTTATCACAGGCTCGATCTATCGCTCTGTACCAGTCGCCTGATAGTCGGATTGACCTCGGCCCACTTCAAACTCTCCTTCACTGAAATCGGAGCTCGTTCCTCCTACTAGACTGGCCTGCACCGACAATTTGGTTCGAACTACAAGACAGAAAGCGACAGGTCAACATTTAGCTATTATCACTGCCGTTGCTTTGAATAGACAGCTGGTGATATTGGGGGCCCATAGAGAGAATTACTGTTTATCACCAGTATAATTATCTATACCACTCTTTGAGACAAGTTCAGTTGTGGCATACGATATAACAAATCTTGACCTTTAGTTATGACAACCACATAGACTGTACACATCGGTGGCCTTTAAAAATAGTTTGTTTCCTCACCCCCTATCCTTCTCTTGTACCAGGCTCTTGCCTCTCTCGGGCTACGGCCGCGATCCCCGTACTGCGCTTTGGACCTCGCTACAATTTGCTCATGTTTCAGCTGCGACTGTTGTCCATTTTTGCACCACCCACCGAGGTGTCTTTGATGCTGGCCGCAGCTCACGAAGCTCCTGGTGGAGGAAACAATAGAGGTGACGACAGAATATACCAGGTGACAGCAAGACAGAGCGCGAAAGGACACATTTACATGACCAAATATTCCAGCAATATCAACAATCATGCAGCTAAAATAAACTCATCTGTTCCTCATCATCAAATACATGTCCAGGTTCTGGAAGCTGCAAGGGTTTTTTAAGTGTCCGAAAGAGGTAACAGCAACATGACAACAAAAGAAA